GTTTATTTAATCTTAATTGTAATTCTATTGACGTTGTAGCAGCCAACCTATTCATAATGAGGCACTACAAAATCTTAAGCATCCTACCTTTGAAAGAGTTGTTACATCCATTAAAGTGTATCCATTGCTTTGCACATTTATAAACTTTGAGGAATGGGGGCTAATGTCATCTTTTTTTCGTTACGTTAAACACTTTCTTAAATATGTGCAGGTCTTTGTGTTTCAAAGCCCTTATTTTTAGTTTCCAAAATAATGATTAAGTTTATGAATATTTTCATTTCTTAAAAAATATATTCTGGTATTTAAAAAGTCGGATTATTGAAGTATAATTTACACAGAGTAATAATTCCCATTTTTAGTGTATAGTTCTAAGAGTTTTAATAATCACTTATAATCATGTAACCATCACCATATTAAAATATACAACAGTTCCAACACCCCCTCAAATTCCCCCAGTGCTGGTAGTCAACTCATTCCTACTGCCAGCTTCTGGCAGTCTGATTTGTTTGCTATCCCTGTTATTTGCCTTTGTCAGAATGTTATGCAAATGAAATCATCATAAAATACTGGCTTTTTTCACTTGCTAACATGCATTTGGGATTCATCCACATTGTTGCATATATGAGTAGTTTGTTCCTTTTTATTACCTAGCAGTATTCCATTGTATGCATGCACTTCCATTTGATTGTTCCTTCACAGTTGAAGGCTATTTGAGTTGTTTCCAGTTTGTGGCTATTATAAATCAAGCGGCTACAAGTGTTTACATCCCATTTTTATATGAATATACATTTATATTTATGTTGGATAAAGAGCTAGAAGTAGATAAGTGAATCTTATAAGTATAGGTTCAACTTTACAGAAAACTGTTATCATGTTTCCTCAGGTGGCTGCGCCAATTTCCATTACAACTAGTAATCTCTGAGAGTTCTAATTGCTCATCATTCTTGCCCATTCTAGGTACTGTCAGTATTTTTTAAAAATTAGACATTCTGATAAGTGTGTAGATATACCTAATAATGGTTTGATTTTAATTTCACTAGTGACTGATGATGTCAAGTATATTTTCAAATTTGGCACCCACATATCTTCTTTGATCACATTCCTGTTCAAACGCTTTACCCAATTTTTAATTGCGTTGTTTTCTTATTATTGACTTTTGAGAGTTCTTTATATATTCTGGATATGAGGACTTTATCAGACATGTATTTTACAAACATTTCCTCCCAGTCAGCTTGTCTTTTCATTTTCTTAATGGTGTTTCTCAAAGGGTCAGTTTCTGCCCCCTCTTCTTTTGAACTACAATTTTAGTCCATCTTCTTTCATTCTAAGCCCTCATATTAACAAATTTGCACTAATTCCTAATGAACAAATTACAGTATAAATTTTGGAATTTGATGGAAGTAGGAGAAAACAGACTAAAGAAAGTATAATTTACTTGAATAATAGAACAATTTGGAATTTTCCTGCCTGAATGTAGCAAAAAACCCAGCTTCAATGGCTTAAACATGTAGGACTATTTTTCTTTGCTACAAGTTTTAAGAAAGGCAGCTGCTTGCTGGGATTCAGGAACCCCATGTAATCACAGCAGGTAACTATACATTGCCTTAGCCTTTCTCTTGTAGTTCAAAGTTGCTACTACAGCTGATTATATCCACACTCAGGACAAGAAGTAGGGAATAGAAAAGAACAGAGCTTGAACCAAGAGATCAACCCTTTCCCAGAAGCCTCTCGGCTACTTCCAGTTGCATTCTCATTGGATAAAACTGGATCATGGCCTGGCAATGCTGGGAGGAGCAGGGTGGGTAAGACGGGGCTACCTAGTGTCTGCCTCACACAGCAATTTTTAAATAATATCAAAATATGAAAGGTAATAAAACTATTTATAAGGACAGAAGACATAACAATCAAAATCTACTTTGGAATTCAAGGTTTTTCCATGCTTCGCTAGCCAGACAACTAAAATCTGAAGGCATCATTCCACTTGCATCTTAGGCATGCATGTAAAAGTAATAATAGAAATATAGTAGCTATTATAATAAGAATAATGGGTTATAGCTTATGAGGCCACATACTTTATCCTCTTTGACTGCCTCTTGAAGTTAGGGTCTTACGTAGTAAAAAAATATAATGCATAGATAGTAGTTCACTTCAAGTCACATAGAAAAGGGATCAGGACAAGAAACTCATGATATGGGTTTATTCTCCCCTTCCTACCTTTCTATACCAATCGGGGTTTTCATTTTCAAGATGAGTGATTCAGTGTAAAGTTTGTATTGTGATATTGCCTACATAGCCTGTATATACGTGTGTAAATGAAAGCTCAAAGGCAAAAATCCTCTTGTAAGAGAATTTTAGCTGTTTGTCTGAAACTCTATCTAAATGGGAATTCTGTTGTAAACTTGGTAAATAAATTGAAGTTAAAGTGAAGCTTTTACTTCATTTGTATTTGTTATTGTCTCAATGATAAAATTTCCATCCAGAAAAATGTAGTCTATTTGCTTTTTAATATAAAGAAAAGTAAAATTTAAATAATTCATTAAAAAAAAATTATAACAGCGCTTCTATAGTGAACATTATGTTAATTCAAGGTTTTAGAAGCAGCTATTAAATTTTTTTCTTTCACATTTTGGCCCAGATGCATAACACTGACTAAAATGTTTGTGAAATAAATGAATGAACCTTCTGAACCAACTCACTACAATTGTCTTTACTGAATTGGTTTATATTTTCAATAGCTTGAAATAAATCTTAAATATGCGAAATGCTATTGAATCTGTGAGAATTATTCAAGATTAGGTAATTACTGACATTAAAATGGAAGGTAAAATTCTGTACAAGAGTTTCTATTAGTTATTTGACTTTCACTAGGTATAAACCCATCTTAGCCAGTAGAATGTACTTAGTAATGCTGTGGCTGAAGTTTGTCAGGAATTTGGGAACCCAAAGGATTCTTGAGGCTATAAGTCTCACAGTCCTTTGTTGAAGCTAGTACAGCCATTTTCAGTTTTCCCTTTAAAAACTTTCTCTGCGTATCTGGTAAGATACTTCAGCTTTCCATAACAACTTTCTTCAAAGTTTTACAAATACTTTTACAAATATCCTTGAAAGGTAAATAGGCGGAGATACACTGTGTCTCTTAGAAAAGAAGAGACTAAGAAACTTTTTCATAAGATGACACAGCTAATAGAAATAGAATTAATATCGCCAAGCTTTGACTTGACTCTATAAGCGAATCATGTCCTCTTCGGTCTACTTTTGATAATCAGTTAATCAGAATCTATTATTTTATCGAAAAAAAAAAAAAAGACTGGCAGTAATATTGGATTTATTTCACTTAATCTTAGTATATTATAACCATAAAAGAGTATTAAAATCATTTTTACTTTCATTGGGATTGATGAATTTGTTGTTTTTAGAATTATTGTATTGTACATTTACAGCCACAACTTGTATAATGGTAGGTGCCATATAACACTTAGGTACTTTTATTCAAAATATAAATAAAATTTGTGACATCTACAAGGTTTTGTTTCCATACATACTACCAGAATAGTAGCGATTGGATGCTATCTTAATACAGAAAGCCTGATGTGGTTGAAAGAGGAAAGATTTTGGAGGCATTTGGACATGATTCTTTATACTAAATCTGCCACTAACTAGCTGTGCAATTGTTGGCTTGTCACCATCTCTGTGGCTGTTTTTCTGTGTCTAGAGTGCCTGAATCGTAATTTGTGAGAATTGAATGAACTCATAGATTTAAAATGCTTAGCATTACACTTGGCCTTGATTAAGTCCTCTTAAATGTACTCCAGAATCATGATCATTTACTCCAAAAATTATTTATTGAATACTTCTAAGACCTTTTACTCAGTGAAATAAAGTGTTTTTTTTTATGGCTTACTAATTATTGCGTACAGGAAGAAAAGATATAGCTTGATTCCTTAGTTTAAGGGTTCTTAATCTCAACACTGTTGACATTTTGGCAGATAATTCTTTGCTCTGGGGGTTACTCTGAACATTGCAGGATGTTTAGCGGTATCTGGGCCTCTGCGTACCAGATGCTGATAGCACTATTCTTCTTCTTGTTTGTGACAACCCAGAATGTTTCCAGACATTGCCAAATGTCTCCTGGGTTGGGGGTGGGGTTTCGCCCCCAGTTGAGAACCACAGTCTTCAATCAATTCTTTTTAAAAAGTGTTCATGAACTTCCAGTCCTAGGAGATTCTTCCCAAAAGAGCCCCAGGGTCAGATAAATTGAGAAATATTTAATAATAATAATAACCCCAATTGCATTATTGCAAGGCTCAAATTTCGGTCCATTAGTCAGCAAAACCTGCATGCTTTCTATAACATCATTCTGGGACAGGTTTTACTCCCATCCTTACCGTTTCATCTAAATGTTAATATGAACCCATAGTCAATATGTTCCTCTGTGTTACTAGTTTTAAGAATCTCTTACTTTACTGTCTTTGCTCCTGAATACTATTTTGTCTATATACATATGAATTACAAATGCGCATCATGAATAGTAACATACCTTCCAACATGCAAGGAAGAGATATCGTTATCTCAGCTTTCTGTAATATTAATTTAGAAAACTATTTTTACAGTGTTACCTAGATTCAGGAACTAACAATATACATCAATTTTATCACATATTTGACAGCTAGACTTATATATAATGGTAGAAACTTTTACCGACAAAATACTTTTAATAAAACATAAAATAAGAAAAATAAATATGAGAGTTTTTATATTTGATAAACAGGAAAAGCCAAATTAAAAACTGAATAAAAATGATTTCCTTCTTGGCCCCACCCCTCTCCCCCAAAAATAGGAGGGATTTTTGACTCAAATCATCCGGATAATTGATTCAGACCTGATTCACTTAGTGATAGGGAACTTTTGTATTATAATGAAAATTTATCATCCTATTTGCTGTGAAAGAATTAGTGTTCTTAATGTCCTTACACATTCTTTTTTTTATGTGAACATTTTAGGTGTATCAATATATGCATGAAACGATAACTGTTAATGGCTGTCCTGAATTCCGTGCCAGGGCCACGGCAAAGGTAAGACTTGAGTAACTTTAAAAATATGCTTAACCCCAGTGATCTAGTAATTGATTGTGCGCGTGTGTGTTTCAGGTATTCTCGTGTGTACACTGTAAGAGAATTTAGACATCAGTGGCAGCCCAGAGTCTAGAACCAGTACTACTTCCCAGGTAAAAATCCTAATGGAAAATTGAACGTTTCTGCTGCTTCTGTAGCTTAAGAAAGGAGAATGATTTTATTGAATTCACTAAATGTTCATTTGGCACAAGCAAATCTACTGATTCATTATATGAAATACCACTTGGTTTTTTGACACATTTCTCTAATCCAGAAGAACCTATTCCTCGTTAAGTACATGAAGATTTATTTGCATAAGTCTAAAAAGATTTGGCATTAAGAGAACTTATCTAACACCCACAAATGTAGGATTCTTCCATGTATTCAGCAGAGCAGTGGGTCGCTTGCTGAAAGAATGTGATGTTGACTTAAAGGGAAGGCGTGTCACCTTTTGTAGTAATGACCGCATTTGCTCTTTAAAAACTCAAATCCAGAGATTACAGAGACCCTACTAATGGAAATGTTACAGCAGTAGGATCATGAAATTGTCTGGAAAATAGACCATTAGGAAATAATAGTTTTTAACTGAAATCACCGATACAGCTCTTATTTTACAAATACAAAAATGTTATAATACATACATATTTGCTTTTTAAAAGCTTTTCTCTTTTTAATTATAAGAAATAAGAACTGGTGAAAATAATCAGAATTTTTTATTTAATTATTTGTGTTACATTACCTCTCTTTTGGTTTCTCTCTCGATTTTTTAGTTTTTATCCTGTAACTGAACACTGTAGATTCGTAAGTTTTTTTTAACCCAAGAAAAAAGAGGGTATTATTATCATTACATCATGCTTTGCTTGTACTGAAGTGGAACACACACAGAAAAATGATCCCTACATGGTTTAATTAAGGGGAAAGTGAATTATATAGTGTTTTACCATTCTCATTTCTTATTCATGTAGAACAGCAGGATAGCAGCATAATGTTGCAATAGCACAATATTTTCTGGTTGTTCTGGGCTGTCTGCATTGCATCCATGTCAGCCATTAAAATCTATGCATGACAACAAGGTTTGCATGAGCAAATGCATGTAGCTAAAAACAAGCCATTATTTTCATATCATTCACTATCTTTCACTAAACACAGACAGTAGCATAATGCTAAATTGATGTGATGATGCTGTGTGTGGAAAAGAATGTACAGTAATTGGGAATCGATATTTTTAGTGTCGAGTAAATCACTTTATAGTAGGCATCCAATCAACTGTGGTTAAGAAAGGTTAATAGAGGTAGGAAATCAAAAGCAGTGAGAGAATTTTTTCTCGATAGAAACTACTTAAATGCTATAATTTTATTTCCATGAGGGGTGGGAACTAATGGTAAGTTGTCTCTTTCAACTTATTTTTTAAATTAATATATGAATTATAAAATAAAATTATGTTCATATTAAATGATATTTTGTACATCTAGGTATAAAACTGCTCATTTTAGCTACACGACTATGGTAGTTGAAATATTAATGTAAAATGTAGGGGAAAAAACCTATGCCAGATAATAATAGCTTATATTAACTTTAATAACTTCATAATAATATAGAATATTGATGTGAAGTAATAATAATTTGTTGTAGCTTTTACTTTATTGTGGCTTTTATTTTACTTTAGGCATCCTCATAAAAAGGGGGGGGGGACTAAAATTGCTAAGCCAGTGGTTTGGCAATAGCAAAATTATAGATATATTCACCAGTATATATACATATAAGTGCTCCTCAGTGTATTGAATAAAATACTTATGTACATTCACGTGCAAATACCAGGTTAGACTGAGTGTCATACAAAGAAGTGTAAGCCACAATCTTTGCTCTTAAGGTATTCATAGTCAACATATATACATAGTAGAGTATGTGTGCCGTATGCACGTAGTAAATGGAACAAACGTATTTGGAGTGCAAGAATAGGAAGAATTCCATCTAATTAAGGTAATTGAGAAGAAGGGAACTTTTTATTATAGTGGATAAGGTCTAGAAAGCTGGAAATAGCTGGGCCGGGCTTTACCATAGAAGTGAATTGTAGATGACTAAATGAAGAACCCTCCCTCCCTTTTGTGATTTTTATTTCACAGGAGAATGCTATAAAAATATGAGGAGTTGACTGATCCACCCACCGCAAAACATACAATGAGCTTTGTTTTCTTTGTTTTATTACCAAATAACCATCTTTTTTTTCAGGCAACGGTTGCAGCTTTTGCAGCTAGTGAAGGCCACTCCCACCCTCGGGTAGTCGAACTGCCAAAGACTGACGAAGGCCTTGGTTTTAACGTGATGGGAGGAAAGGAGCAAAATTCCCCCATTTACATCTCTCGCATCATTCCTGGAGGAGTGGCTGAAAGGCACGGAGGCCTCAAAAGAGGAGACCAGTTGCTGTCAGTGAATGGAGTGGTATGTTCAGAAAATAACCTGTGGTCTTCATCCCAAGTACATTCTTTTCTCTGCTGTTACTTAAATCAGTCTTGAAGTTCTAGACCAAATTATAATTTTGTGTCCAAACAGCTTCCTAAGCATTAGTGAAAATTAAACCTACAAAAGCAGTACTTTTATAGTTTTTATGTCTCATTTCAGGTATGATAAGTATGAACTAGTTGGAAAATAATTCCAACTGGTAGAATTTCCCCCATATAATACTCTGACTGAATATACACCTTTTTAAAATAAAGATAAAACTCCTCACTATATATTTTTTTAATTTTAATTAAAGAAGGAAGATAATTTTAATACATATAATAACATATGGAAAAGACTAATGCACAGATAATTCTTGACTCCAGGTGTATAGTTATCATACAATAAAAATTTATCAGCTTCCCTCACACAATTGGTTGATTATTTTATCTAACCTTCATATAGATTTTAGTTTCCACATGAAGTTAAAGTAAATTAAAATATATAACATTTTAAAGTAAAAATATAAAACATACACTTTTTTTTTTATAATCTCATATTCTTTCAATGCCATTACCTCCATGTAATAATGAGTTGCTAAAGAAATAGCCTTGTGTACAATGAATAATTTTCTCCCCATGACTTCTACTTAAATAAAAAATAAATATCCTCTCCATTAACCTAAAATCTTTTCCCTAAGAACCTAAGATTTTAATAAACTATATTTGGGTTATTTGTGGCCATATCAATTTCTGCTTAGAATATCTAAAATAAAATGCATTTGGAATATAATATTTTATTGGTAACTATGGAGTAAATTCTTTTATATTTATATCTTACTTTTTATTTCTTTTTATTTTTAGCCTGACTAGTAGTTTTATAGAACCAAAACTGTTCATTTAACTCTGCTGATCTCTGATATACATTAAAATCATCAATCCATGAATATTTTATATCACTTGAACATTCTAATTCTAAAATTACCATTTCATTTACTTTTCTCTATTTAACAATATTTTGAGATGAACTCTTTCTTGACCTTTACATAACTATGACTTTTTCAAAGCAGGTTTCAACTGATAATTTAAGAGTCAAGCTTTCTAGTAGACTGTTCTAAGAGCTAGGTCATGTAATTATGTTACAAAGTAATCTGTGCCTCAGTGTATGAATTTACAATTTTTCTGAATATATTAGGTAGATCAAAAGGAAGTATAGATTTTAAAACATGAAAAGTACAGAAAGGAACCAAAAATATATGAATAGTAATTATATAAAGCAACAATAAATATACATGAAATCACTTTAATAGGTGGTTGACTTTTAACTATCTGTCAAGGTCGCCCAATAGTCTTTGTTTAATCCATACGTTTGCAGGGAACACAGCCATAGGCATTTCATAATAGTGACGCATTTGTTTCTTTCAATGGCTGTATGACTTTATCTGGGAGTCTGAAGGAGGGGATGGGAGGCTATTGGAGCATGGAATTAGACACATCAGAGTCAATATCTGTATAATTATGGATTAATAGCCCCTAAATTTGAATTTCCTGATCTGGATAAAGGGTTAGTAACTAATTTGAACAGTGCTGATGAAGATTAAACTGGGGCAAAATGTCTGTTGAGAACTAGCCAGAGGTAATTTGATCACACACATCTTTGATAAGTAATAGTGGTTACTGAAGAAGATTGAAGAGGGTTAGCAATCCTTCTATGATATTGCTAATGCTAGTTGTGTTAAAAATAAGTCTTAAAGCAACTTCCACACATATAAGCACATTTTAGCAAACATTGATAAAGAATGTCACTTGAGGCAGATGAAACTACATTCTAAGGCCAGAATTTTGTTACCCTTATGTTCAGCATCAGACAACCAGAAATTCTATTAAACTGACCTTCCTATTTGGAAATAGGAAGGTTTAGTGATCAAACTTAGTCCACTAATCCTGTGGTACAGCCTAAGGATTTCATTATGATTTTTATAGCAAACATTGATAAAGAATGTCACTTGAGGCAGATGAAACTACATTCTAAGGCCAGAATTTTGTTACCCTTATGTTCAGCATCAGACAACCAGAAATTCTATTAAACTGACCTTCCTATTTGGAAATAGGAAGGTTTAGTGATCAAACTTAGTCCACTAATCCTGTGGTACAGCCTAAGGGCTTCATTATGAGTTTTATGCCCTGTTCATGGGCGGGGAGGTGCTGGGGGGTGGGCTGGGGGATGTCTCCAAAAGTCTTTAATGTTCCACATACTTTAAGTGGAATATTAATTAAGTTTCATTTATTATGTTTGTTAATGAATCACTAATTTTGCTAATAATTCATTTCTGCCATATTTTGGCTAACCAGCAAAGCATTTATATGTTCATTGAAATAGGTATAACAAATGTTTTTATAGCGGCCAACCTCTCAAAAACAAGCCTCTCAAAAGCCTTTCTGATATAATGCTTGCTGACCACCTTAGATTGGTTTAAACTCCTAAAGTTGGTGTTTAAAATACTACACATCCATATAATCAAACTACATATTATAAATAACCTATTTTAAAGTATTTAAAAGTAAGTTCTATGCATTTTGAACAGTGCCTAATATTTATCAAGAGGTAGTTTTCCTTCTGTAAATAAGAAACTACATGATCCAATGGCTTTTCCATAGTCACACAGAGAGTATTTAATCCAAGGCGAGGACCTTGGGCCTCTAACACTCAATCCAGAAGTCTTTTTAATATACATAATTCCATTCAGAAATATTTAATTTAAAAAAATTACTCTGTAATGGAAGGGCCAAAAAAAAAAAAAAAAGGAGAGAGAGAGAGAGAAGATTAGCAAATGATCATGTTATTTCTATTTACCCTTAAAGTACCATTTGGGGAAATTAATATGAAAGATTTTCAGAACATGCCATTCTAAACCGAGAACAAATTTTGAAAGAAGTGGTTTGGAGAGCTGAAGCAAGCTTTAATTACTTCAGTACTCTAGGGAAAATTTCTTAATGTCTTACTTAAAAAGTAAAGAAATTATTCTTATGGGTCTTTAAATTTCTGAAAAGACATAGCATCTTTGAAGTCAAAAAGAAGGAAACTCATATCAGCTCAGCTATCATTAGGAGAGAATTTTTTTTCTATCTCAAGAGAGATTTTTTCTATCTCAAGAGAGATTTTCTATAGGATTTTACAAACGATGCATTGAATCACCTAATACAATTTTACAGAAAATGCAGAGGCCTTTTTTGTATGGCTGTTTTTTAAGTTGACCCTCAGTAAAAACTTATTGCTGAATTCTTAATTAAAATTAAACATTAACAGTAGGTCAAAATGTTACAGACAGAATTGATAGCTTTCTAATGATCTCTTTTTCACTTTTTTTTTATGCCTAAGTGTTTGTTTCATCAATAATTTGGAAAAAAGGACTAAAAGACCTTTTCATAAAGGCAACAGCCAATGTGGAGCCATCAGGGATAGTAAATACATTTAATAATAGAGTCTGGATTTAAAAATCTCAATAACATGGTATGGTAGACCTAATTTAATAAGATTTTACATGAAGATCTGCTCCTATGCCCAGAAAACCTATGTGCAGAATTGGGGAGAAAACATCAAAACCTGGGGAGGGCGGAGAAAGCCTGGGAGATTTCACTTGATTTCAAGAGGAACATGAGGCAAGTTGGGGGGAAAAAACACCCCAAAAACATGAAAACACGTTAACATGATTGTAGGAGCCATTGATACAAATATTGTGTACAGACATGGAAGGGAAATGGTTTAGCTCTTTAAAGGGGCTGTTAAGCTCACAGCACATTGAGTTTCCTGACCTTGGTTCCATCCTTATGAAGAATAAACTAGTTCAGAAATGAGCAGTCTTGCATACTATGAACATGTTAAAGAAGGGCTTGAGTTGTTTAGGGTAGAGAACAGAACATTTAGGAGAATGATGACTGTCTTCAGTTCTTTATATGAGGCACCAGATGGCAAAGCCAAGACCAGGGGTAGAAGTCACAAGGAAGGCAGACTTCAGCCTATTATAATTAAGAGCTTTTAAACACCAAGAGCTCTATAAATATGGAAAGACTGAATCATAAAATGGTATGTGTACTCTGTAGAGCTGGAACAGTTGGCCCTCGGGTCCCTTCTAACTCTGTGACTCTGCGATTTTATGTCTTCAGGTGGGATTTCACTGAGACTGCCATGTACTCCTACACACACACACACACACACACACACACACACACACACACACTCAGAAATGGATACACACAAATGTATCAGACCCACACCCAAATATACACACATGAAATAAATTTCAACCTTTATTGTGGTCATAACTGATGCTTACCAAATTTAATAATTGATTTTTTAAAAAGTCAGTCCCAGTGAACTTTGTAAACTGTGGATTGTGCCAATGTCAATTTTCTGGTTTTACTATTATATAATAGTTTTACAAGATGTTAATATTTAAGGAAGCTGGGTAAAGGGTACGTGAGATCTCCCTGTATATTTCTTTTCAATTTCCTGTGAGTCTATAATTATTTCCTAATAATTTGTTTAAAGGTCTAAAAGAATCATCTTGAAATATGATATCCTACTGGTACTGAGGGAGAGAGGGCAAGTGGGGAGCAGGAAGGCAGGAAGGGGACAGAAAGACAAAATAAAAACACAGGAACAATGTAATGGTGAAAAGAGGCCTTCATTATAACCTGAATCCAAGCATTGTTTTAGAGCGTCATTGGTGGGAAAACTAGCTCTGTAGTTAATCCTAAATAAAGCTGTTGATACAGTGTATGCACAGTGCTAATTGATTTTTAAGCATAACAGATGAACGAATAAAAGTTTAAGGATGCAACAGAATAAATTGTTTTCCTGGAATCTGGCTTTTTTCACATTTTATAAATACCTATACCAAGTTAAGGGTGAGTATTCACAGCCCAAATTATTTATACAGAATGACCGTCAGATGTGAAATGAAGTTGAAACAAAAATTAAAACTTTTTAGATTTGAGTGC